GACTGATCAGGCCTGCAGCCTTGTTGCTCGAGTTTTGACCAAGTTAAAAGTTGGTATGTTCAAATTGTCAGATTTGTTGCTGGAGGCTCCGACTCGTCTCGAGCAGTGGGACCTGTCCTCTGACTCCTGCAGCGCTGCTGTCCTCCGACAGAAAGCATCCGAGGCGACCGCCCTCAATGTTGCTGTGTGAACCATGTTGATATGAATAATAACTACAGCGCATTAAATCATAAACGCAGGGGCAGCTGCTGAGGAGAGTGGGCCACACCATGTGCACGGCCAAGAGTTAGGCACGTACTACAGCAAAGATTTTACTGGAGGAACTAAAGATCAAAGAGCGCTGCTTCCTCAGCGTGCAATCATCCACTTGAATCACTGAAGCTACTGAGTTTGAAACCTGAAGCAGCCACATCTGCCTGCAGGTGTTTTCAATGTTGCATTATTAGTCTGATTCAGTTTTAGTCTTTTAATATTTTATTATCTCTTCTTGTGTCGACACTGGTTTATATTTTAAATTGTGTTATTGTGCTGCTGTGTTGTGGAAAAGATCTCCGACCTCACAGGTCGTAGTTAGATAAATGTTTCAACGTGTTTTTGTTGCCTTTTTAGCTGCAGTTGCTAACAGCCAGGTCAGCGTGAGCATGTCCTGATAAAGAGCCGAGACACAAGAGGCAAATTAAAGCAGCAGCGTATTAAATCTGTGCAATTATGATTTCATTAACATTAACCCATTAGCCTCCTTAATGTCACCGTAAACAGAAAGATCAGTCAGGGAGACCCAGACCTCATCAGAGGGGAGACTGAACGGTGAGATGTAACTGATGGAGCGCTCTGACAGACAGCGAGGGCGTGAAGGGGACAGAGCCTGAAGAGGCCGGAGGGTGTTTGTGTGCAGAGCTTTGACTGTGCAACGCTCAGAGACAAGCTCACTGAGAGAAAAGAAACGGGACGCATCACCGTAAACTGTAATTATTAAAGCCCAGACATGTAAATTCATCTGAGTCCATCAGGAGCCCTTCTACTCCCTCTGCTGCTGCATCCTAATGAGATGTGACACTAGATGTCCCACAAAATGAGCAAATAAGGTCTCTGTGTCACAGCAGTGTCATTTTTACAGAAGAATCCATCCATCATCATCTTGTTCTGGACTCAGGTCTCGGGGCAGCATCTTGAGCAGGGAGGTCCAGACATCTCTCTCCACAGCCTCTTCCAGCTCTTCTGGGAGGACTCCAAGGTGTTCCCAGACCAACAGAGAGACGTAGTCTCTCCAGCGTGTCCCGAGTCTTCTCGGACATGCCTGAAGCACCTCCCTAGGGAGGCGTCCAGGGAGCATCCTTACCAGATGAACCACCTCAGCTGGCTCTCCTCGATGTCGAGGAGCAGTGATTCTACTCTGAGTCTCTCCTGATAACTGAACTTCTCACCCTGTCTCTGAGGGAGAGTCCAGCTCTGCAGAGGAAACTCATTTCAACCTCCTGGATCCACGATCTCATTCTTTCAGTCTCTACCCAGAGTTCATGACCAGAGGTGAGGGGAGGAACGTAGACTGACCAGTAAACAGACAGCTTTGTCTTACAGCTCAGCTGCCTCTTCACCACAATGGACTGGCACAGAGTCCACAATACTGCAGACGCTGCACCAATCCATCTGTCAACCTCACGCTCCATTCCTCCCTCACTCATGAACGAAACCCTGAGATACTTGA